AAGATCATGCCATACCTCAAGTAGAACCTGTAGATATGAAATATTCTTAAAAGATACTGGAAAAATGGTCACTTCCTTGTACCACTGCAGTAAGTACCTAACTCCTCCTGCCAAGCTTTATCTTTAAAAGAGTTTGAGCAGACCAAAAATGGAGTATTGCTGCCATATCTGAACTGGAGCTGCCTAATCCTCACATTCCAGCCTTGACAGAGTTCAAAAGTGTTTACATAGCCTTGTGGGTGATGAATTATTTTCCATCCTACAACCCCTTTCCCACAGATGAAGTTTTGCTAGCTTCTTACTAAGTTATTGCTGTTTCCATGGCAAATGTTCTGATGAAATATATTCCTTAGTTCCACCAGCTGAGATTTTCACTGCTAGTATGCAGTAGTGACTCATCCTCTCATTCCGTTCATATTCCATTAGTAAGGAGGAAGTTTCACTTAGATAGCTTCTTTCCTAGAACTGCTAGATTTCCAAGTAGTAATTACAAATAAGGATTATGCCCCTAAATATTAAAACATGAACAACACATCAGACATTAAGTATTTATCTTCATATTATTCTGGTCATTATATTCTCAGCATCTCTCTGTAGAACGATATGGATGGAACATGTGAGCAGAGACAATATTTTACAGAAAATGTAAACAAAAAGGACACTAATGTTTAACAGCTGAGATTTCTAGGGCACATAATGAGGAAAGAAGTCTTGGGAAATTTGACACTCACAGGACAGATTTAGGAAAGAAAGAGATAACAAAAACACAAAATTTATTAAGAGCTACAAATGACAGGAAGTTGTGAAGAGACATGATCACCTACATGCTGAAGAGACATAGAAGAATATTTTTCTGACATTTTTTAAAAGTTTTATTCTGCATTATGAAAATATGTTGTAGAGTATGACTCAGCATACTTCCTGCTCTTCCCTATTAATGTGACAATGGACTGCTCCTACTTATAAATATGGCAAGTAGCCATATTAGAATAGGATTTGATTTACTCAGGTCTCTCTGTTCTATGTAAGAGTATTTAATAAACTTCCTCTTTGTTTCCTCTACCTAGTCTTCTGTTCATTTAATACTCTCTCTAATAACAGCCTTCTTAATTCTCAGCTATTTTGAATATGTATTGGCTGAGTGGTTAGAATGTTGGCTTTCTGGCCATGATACCTGAATTCAAATCTCACCATGGTTGATTTGTCAGAAACATAGCTTCTTGATATTATCAGTCTGGTGAGGTGATCACAGTATATGGTACCTTTGAAAAGTGCCTGAAAACCATAAGATGGGTTGACTCAAACCTTGTGAGTAAAACAGGATAGATGGAATTATTAGGAAGCCATTGATGTTTGTTTGTGCTAGCATAAAGTCAGAAGACATTGTGACTGAGGGTTTGACTATACTGGCCTTGTTCAAACTGCTGATCATTCCAGAAACTGTAACTAAGGTCTGCTCAGTATAGTTGCAGTATAAACCACTAGTGGGCTCTGTTGGTGTTGAACAAATACAAATGTGCCTGAGCAGGTGTCTGTAAAAGGGATTGGACAGTTGTCCTAAGAGATGAGTGCTTTTTTTAATCATTTCACCCTAAGCAAAACCACTAAGATGCAGGTGTGCAAAAGAATACAAGAAAAATATTAAAAGGAGCGAGAACAATAAAAGAACAGAAATTAGGAAGACAGAAGACATTGCATTTAAATTATTGAAGATCAAACTATGCAGGAAAGGAATTAGCTGGAAGAGAGTTTCACAGGCAAGAAGTGTGAGAAAAGAAACTGTTAGCATAGACCTTAGGGTTCTAAAATCTGTAAAATGATGAGAACTTGCTGCCAATTCAGTACTGTGCTTTCTGCTCAGAAAACCAAAGTAGCCAGTCATCATTTTTCTTAGCAATTGTTAATTTTTTTTTTATCAAAATACAACAGTTGTGCAAATTTAATACAACTGTAATAATAAATATTTTGCAAATGTTCATATGCTTTTCCTCCAAATCTATCTATATATGTATTTACCTATCAGACTAATATTAGGTAATCAAAAGATAAAATGGAAAAATTCCTAAATGACAGGTTTCATTCCAAGAAGGAACTTCTTCAGACTAATAGTGGTTTTATCAATGGAACCAGTAATGGCAGGTTGGGGAGAGGGGAATACAACAAATAACTTTATATTGAAAATGTTAAAAAAAGTATCTGGAATGTTTAACTTAGCCCTTTTTTTATTCATTTTTATCAATATTGTTTTTTATTTGACAAATATCCCACATTGTAAAAGCAATAGTTTTGTGAGGAAAGGAAATATCTTGTATGATCCTGGACATAAATTTAACATAGATGATACTGAAATTAGTGCAATATTAATATATTTTCACTTTAATAAATGACTTTCTTTAATAATTAAAATTGCAATAAGTCAAAATTATGGTCAGACCTATTACAATAAATATGCATAGAGTGATTTGTTTTATAAAAGACCCCCTTTATGTTCATATAATCTTTAATTTAAAAGACCAAGATGTTTCACCAATATATTTTTGGGGACAGTTCTAATCTAACCACTAAAAAATGTTTTGTAACAATGCTACAGTCATATAGTTGATATATTTCATAGTTAAGGAGTCCTAGTATCCCACAAGACAACTTTATGTGAAGAAAGTCTCAATTTGAGATTAAAATTTAAATTAAAACTTCCTTGAATTTTCAATTTATTTGAAACTGGGATTTTGTCCACTTTTGTCATAAGAGTCTGGGTTTTTGTCTGTTGCAGGCTGATCTTGTCCCATTTTATTTTCCTGCAACTTTTTTTACCTGAATTTGTTCATTTCCTGAGAAAGTAATGCCTGCTTCAGTTATACTGTATTAGAAGCAAAACAAAACTGAATTTAGAATTGGGCAAGCCATCCTGTAACACACTGCTCCTCTGAGTCATTCAGGTGGCAACATTATTTACACATTGTTGACAATTTTCCAAAATTTCTGGCAAAGATTACTGGTAAAAATCTGTTTAAAACAAAAGTCGACTGGAATTTTGAAGAAGGAAGATTGAGATCCTTAACTGTAAAGAAATTCTATTTCTAACCTAAAAATGTTTTACCTCAAATAAATTTGGAGCAAGAAGACAACAAACTGTAGAAGACCGTATTGTTGTATTTGGAAACACGTGCATTTAATTTCCTGCTAAGAGGTCCAACTACAAGAAAATGGCTGGACTTGAATTAAGTCCAACTGCAGATAAAGAAGACAAACAAGACCGATATATATGTATGTCAACAAATATATGTATCAAACAACACAATTTTACAATGGACATAGACATTAACATTTGTGTGTGTGAACAGTAGTGTTTGTTCTTTGGTGAATGTTCGTACATACATGTATGTGTGTATAATGTTCATGGCGTCTTCCCACAAGTGGGAAATGCTGTCTTTTGTGAGATCTCACATTGTAGAGGCGTCCGCTGAAATGAAGAAATGAAAAAGAGGATTTACCTCACCTACACGCGATGTGGGATGTGGCACGAGGCAAGAAGTCACCCAGTATTTATAGTATAGGGAGAATGAAGCTACAGAATATGAAAGGAAGAGAACTATTTTGGTATTATTTTACTATTACACCTGTCTCATTCCTAACTATTTTATGCTCTTTCAGTATTCAACTGGCCCATGACAGTGAAGTAAGGGTTGAATTGATCATGCACATTAGGTCAGTAAGGAAGATGGGTGGAATAGTAAAGATTTACCCTACTCTCCATTTTTTTAAACAAATTAAAATGTTAAATTCAAAAATAAAGAAAAATAAACTTTGTTTTACAGTCAAGACAAAGGAAAGCATTTCTTTAGATTGATTTAAGTTGTAATGAAAAAAGAGGACAAATAATCACATGGCATAAAGCTCAAACATATTTTGGATTGTAAGAATAATTCATTTTTTTTTGTAAATGAATATTGCATTAACAATTTTTTTTTTTTGAGAACATCAATGAACCTTCCAAATACAAATCCTACTATTTAATCCATAGCTTGTGAGAAATGGATTCATACCTTTCCCAAGTGTATTTCCACTTCCACTGAATGTAACAAAAATTCAAATGGAATTCAAGCAGATGCTACCATCTGCACATCCATGTGTAACATTTTTGAAGCACAATAAAAACATTTATAACCAACAACACAAATCTTTTCTGCAAAGAAAAAAAAGGTACTAACTTAATTAAATAGATTGGTATACTCATTTTAAAAAAAAAAAAAAAAAGAGAAGATTTTTTTGTTTTTGTAGATTTGCTTTCTTTTTTTAAAGACCTTACTTATTTTGCAACTCTTATCAAAAAATTGTTTTAATCATTTTCGGTCATATTGATACAGTGTCAAACAGTCCCTGAATTTTACAGAGTTATTGGACTCAGTTGTTATTTACAACCGTCAAGTTTGAAAATATGGTAGTAGTTATCTTCATATTTTTTTAAAATTATTTTTCTGTGTTTTTAACCATTTTTATAACTTTTTTTTTTAATTGGAAATTTTTCGGAAACACTTGCACAAATATTCCAGGTTAATGAACTAAAAAAGAATAAAAAAAACGGATGCATAAAAATTTATTTATATAAATCTTTGCTCTTTAACTACAAATTAAATAGTTTGTCCTTTATTTAAATTAAAAGATATCTTTTTTATTTTGTACATAACCAAGAAAAAAGTCTGTCTTTGTACGCAAAGCAGGTAATTTCCGATAATTCTGTAAAAGTCAGGGATCGATTTTTAGCACTGTACCAATATTATAAACTGGACCTCCCTAAATAAATAAATAAAAAAACAAAAACAAAACTAAAAATCAATATTTTTCGATTCTGACAAGTGTTGTGGCCCAAGGAAAGTCTAAAAAGAATTGTTTCCAAAAAGATTTTTCTAGTTTCTATTAGGACTGGAAAAAATGCAATATAATTTCATTTTCAATTTTCATGCTGTTAAAATTTAAAAATGCACAAATAATGATTTACTCACCTTCAGCATTCTAATTTCTCGCATTGCTATTTTCTTAATTAAATAATCATCTTCCGATTCCACAAATTTTTTTATCGCTACAAGTTGGCCAGTATCTTTGTTCCGACATTTATAAACAACTCCATAGGAGCCTTCTCCTATTTTAGCAATTTTGTCGTATTTGTCCATTTCTCTTTTCAGTGCTGACCTAAACGTCTTGAAGGTGAAGGGGAAAAAATTGCAGTAAGCAAGAAAAAAAAAAACTTTTAAAAATGTACTATAAAATTTACCATCGATCCATAATTAATATATAAATCAATCAATATGTATGAATCAGTCAAGTTTAGTTTCACTGTGTTTGTTGGGGATGCGTTTTGTTTTTCCATGAGTTCATTGGCCATTAAAATATTTACAATGCAAAACAACAAATAAATCCAGAGGGGAAAAAATGCTCTTCTTTAAAAAATAAAAATAAATAAATAACTGTTTGTTTAAAAAAAAATGTCCTTTTCTTTGTAACTATTTAAAATAGTTGAAACATTCTTTCTTTAAAAGTCTTTGAAAATTCTTTCTAAACAGCAGCCTGTTGCTAATCACAATTGAAATGACGCTTTGTTTTTTTTTCTCTCTTCTTCTGACGTCGTCAACCAACGACAACAGAGGAGGAGGGAGGAAGGGGGGTGGGACCCCCATAACATGTCATGGCAGGTGCACAGAACTAAAAAAAAGAAAAAAAAAAACTCTATTTACTACTATGAAACTCCTTATCGACCATATCTTTATTCCCAACGGATATACAAACGGTTAATTTCCGTTTTTCATATATACAAATCGTTTATACGAATTGGCAATTAAAATAAATTGCGAATTTATTCACAATCTTTTCCCCAACAAGTTTTAAAAAAATTGATAAATCTTTTTTCTTTTATTTGTGATTTGACAAGTCTTGTTTTGTGACTTTTTTTTTTCAATAAGAAAAAAAAAACGGTTAGAAACTCGAGAAAAAGTTACGAGAGATTAATTAAAACTTCAATCATCATATTTGCTCATAAAAAAATAAAGAAAAACATTGGTAATGAACCGTTTCCTTAAGGAAACATTCGGTTATTCATTGACTGAGAAGCCAGTAGTCATCCTACTTTCGATTGTCATTGAAATTTATAAAATCTTTCGCTAGTATTAAGTATAAAAAAAATATTCACATCCAGTGACTTAGAAAAAAATAAATAAATAAGCTAAGCATAATATTTTTGAAAGATAAATAAAAGTTTTATTTTTACTATTTTAAAAATGTTAGTCTTGAAATGTTTAAACTTTGATCATGTGTTGTTTTTCTTTTTTTAAACACACTCTTTTGAGAGAAGTATATTTTTATGAAGACCAGACGGTTTGTGTAAAAAAAACTGTTACACTTGTTACATCCTTTTTGGATCAGCAGTTAAAAGTAAAACCCTGCCAAATTTTGTGAAGAATCCATTTCCAATTTATAGAAAATTATTTTTTCATATATAGTCCAATGACAGACGTTGTTTCAAGCGGTAATAACAACCCAAATGGAGATGGCGGGCTATTCTATGAATTAGAATATAATCCTCCTTTTTTAAAGATTCAAAACCATTAAGACAACACTTTGTCTCTTCCAATTGAGTAAAAATCTTTATCATATCAGCTGAAATAAAATCATAATTCATCAGTTTGGAGGCTTTCTGAATTTCCTTGTTTGGCGAAAGAGATGGTTTTCTTGTTTTTTTTTTTCTGAATCTATTGTAGGTATTGGAATGTTGTGGCAGACTTCACCACATTAATTTAGATTAGGAAACAGGGCTGACGCAGAAAAGGATAAGTCAAAGACATTGTTACACATAAAATATGTATTTAACAAGATGTACAATATAAAACAACGATGTGAAAGAAAGCATGCATTTAATTAAGAAAAGATTTAAATAAACAAGAGTTGTCTCTCTTTAACTGTTATTTTAGTATTTCAAAGTTCGCTGGAATAATGTTCATGAGAGTCTCTTATAATGACTTCTTAAAAGATTTGCTGTGTTAGAAAAGATTATGTGAATGTATACAAGGTATGTTCGGCATGTGAGTAGTGTGTGTGATTGAGAAGCTAGGTCTAACTCTTAAATTCGGTAGATGCAACCATATTCTAATAGTTTCTTGCACACTTCTCACCTGTGGAAATCCCTTCTGATTTCTTGCTTCCTGGCCATCTACAATCTTCAAAAATTGAAACGCAATATCAATCACCATCTTCTGTATTCCTGAAACATGTTCTTTTATTGTCGTTTCTCCTCATTAAAGTCCTCTCATTCTGTTCCACGCCCAGCAACCCCCTTTGCATTCTAGTGATATTATCACCTTGCTTGGCATGAAATGATTTTTTTTTTTGTTTTACACAAAGAAAAACAACACTGGAAAATATAATTGTTTTAAAAATTTTTATTTTCAAATTCACAGAATTCATTCAATAAACTGATGAAGCTGAATTTATTGGAGGCAGGAGAGGGTATAGAATTTTAACTAAACTTTTATAATTAATACTTAATTGTAATTAATTATAATTAATTATAATTAATACTTAATTGTATATTAAACATTTACTTGGGTAATTAAACATATACAGAGATCTTATATAAATTTTTATTTTGCTAGACAAAGACAAATCCGTTTCTCTTTTTTGCTCACCTGATATTCACTAATGTTTATAAATGGCTGGGGTGGGTATTATTAAGTGTATGTGGGGATTCCAGATTTTAAGAATATTCAAAGTCAATAAATTAAGAGATTGACATCATAATTTCACAGATGAAAATTTAGCAAAGAAGACTAGCATTATATGGGAAAGTTATATAAACTCAGGACTAGATAACCACCAAAATTACTTAGTACAAGCAAATGAGACCATTTTAACATCTACATTACATGGCAAAAGTATAACCGAGCACAAAAGAGAATGAGATAATAACTTAAAGTCTCTTTTTTCTCCCATTTATTCACTGCAGTTTAAAAGAAAATAAAGGAAATGCATAAAAAATTTGGCATTTCAAAGCAATGCATAATTGAAGATTTTTTCAATGTTAAGTAATGCTAGATGTTTAAGGAAAAATTAAATTAATCATTTTTTTTTTGAAGGTCAGGTCAGGCTTACACCTGCTACTGGTAACATGTAACCCAGTACAACCTACCACATGGACAGGTGGTTGGGATCTAAACAATCTCCCCCACTAGCTTTTCTGTTGGTGAGGAGGGCAGCATATTATGCTACAAACAAAAAACAAGACCTGTCAAAGGGCAGCTGGAATTATTACAGGATCTAACAGCCAATATACAGTGCTGTTCAATAAAAGTGACTCACCTGATTTTTTTTTACTAAAAATATTTTTTGTCTATTGTTTTTGGGGTTAAAATAATTTTTAATCTTACTAATATAAAGACCCCTTCCCAACCACTTAGGAAAAAAGTTTATTCACCCTAAGGTATTCTATTGATAATTATAAATTTGGATATAAATGAGATTCAGGAAAAAACTCTGTGTAAAAAAAGTGACTCAGATATTGCATTCTAATGATTAAACTGGTAAACTTAAAGAGCTTTTGACAAAATATTGAAAACTATTTTACAATACACTCAGAACAATATTCTAGAGAATTCTAGAACAGCTTAAATTAAATCTAGAGTATTCCAGAATATTCCAGAAAGCCTCATACAGTATAATAACAGCTTGAAATAGCCACTCAAGTCACTAAACAGATGAAAGGGTACAAACATGCATCAGAGCCACTTAAGGCATCTATTATTGCCCTCTCAAAAGCAGGCAAGTCTACAAGAGAAATTGCAGAAATTGCGATGACCTCGCGATCAACTGCCTCTCAAGTGCTTAGGGCACATAATGATGACACTCCTGCTCCAAGGAAGGAAACAAGAGGACAAAAGAAAAAGATTTATGATAGAACTGGCTGGGTAATCAAGAGAGAAGTTGCGAAGACTGGACTATAACTAACCAAAAAATTGCAGTCAGTCTAAGCGAAGAGTAAGGTGTTAGTCTTGCCTCTTCAACAGTCTGTTACAAATCTTGTTAGAACAAGGCTACAAATCTTGTACACGAAGGTTTAAGCCGCTAATAAGCAAAGCCAATGAAGCCAAGAGACTTGAATGGGCTCACTATTACAAAAATTTCACCATAGAAGACTGGAAGAATATTCTCTTCTCTGATGAAACGAAAGTTGAGCTAAATTCAAAGGATAAGGAGAGTCCCTTTTATCGAACAGCACTGTATATAAGGTTAAGATGGGGTCTCAAGCATTGAATGGCAACCTTCCTTGAGATGGTGACTCAATAAAAGCATTTCATGTACTTGAATGTCTGAGCTGTGCATCAGGAAGAGTATCTGGCCTTGTAAAACCTTGTCTCAAATCATTATGAGATCCTCTGTCAGGAAGGACCTACCTTGCTTTGTGCAAGATTAATCCTTAAACTAAAAACATGCCTATATATGTATGTCTGTATGTATACATGTATGCATGTAATATGGGCATGTGGCTGAGTAGTTAGAACTTTTGCTTTCTGACCATGAGACCTGAGTTCGAATCTCATCATGGTCGATTTATCAGGAAGGAGACTTCCAAATGTTATTGGTCTGAAGGGGGTTACGAGCCCAGTGTGCGGCACTTTGGAAAGTGCCTGAAAACTATACCACAGGTTGATCCAAGCCTTGTGAGTGAAATTGGGTAGATGGAACACTAGGAGCCATCAATAGCTGTGCTAGCACAAAGTCTAAAGTCATCATGACCAAGGGTTTGAGTGTGCTGGTGTTGTTCAGATTGTTGATCACGCTAGATAACACGCACTCTCCTAGACACTGTAACTAAGGTCTACTCAGCATAGTTGCAGTATAAACCACAAGTTGGCTCTGTGGGTGTTGAACAAGCATATATGTGACTGAGTGAGTGTCTGCAATAGGGATTGGCTAGCTGCCCTAGTAGATGGGTATCCTCAAATACAAGTGGCCAGCTATTATTATT